CAAGTAAGCATGAAAAGTAGCTGAAAAAAGGTAAAGCATAATTGGAAGGGAACCTGCACCCACCTGCATGAAGTTAGCTGAGTTTTCTTCGTAGAAGAAGATTCTTTGCCCCTTCTACCTTGAAGTGAAAGTATTCACTTACTCCTTTTGAGTGAGTGAATGCTATTTATATTCATGCTTACACTTCAGCTCAGAGACTCAGGTTTTTAGTATTCACAAAGCATTATTAATGTAATTCAATGGATATATAAAATCTCAGCACAACTGGTATAATCTCCCAAACAGAAGAAACTGAGAATATGAAGAAGAGCATCATCTAACTACATTAAAAATCTAACTGAAGATAACAGTGATCTTGAAAGCTCAGAGTATTCAAGTATTCAGATTCTATTAATACTTACATTTTTTTTTGTAGAGTTAATCTCTGAGATTTTAATACAAGATGGCTTTTCCCCAGTTGGACTGTATTTTTGAGCTAAGTTGTTTATACATATAAAGAGACTCACAGTGTACTGAATTGTCTGTATGCACTTTAACCTCTAGGAACCTTGATCAAAACTGAGTGGAAGATGGTCTAAGATATGCTGAAACTAACAGTCTTCATTCTTTTCAAAGCACTTAAGGTTACAGCTTCTAAAGCTTCCAAGGGAGATGGAGTTTGGTGACATGAGTAAACTCAGATGGCACCTACATGGTCTTTATCTGTGTGAGCTTGAATGGAGCAATAAAGTTCATTTAAAATGGGAAATTTGTATTAAACCTTCAAATAACTAAACCACAAAATATGTGTGCAAATGTGATTTAAAGACTAAGGGATTTAGATCATTGTATATGATTTATAGGCAATTTCCATGGTTTTTCTTTGATAAACCAGTATAATCCTATGCCATAAATACTTCTATTGCTCATCCTTTCTTCGTCTGAAGCAATGGGGACAACTATGATGAAACACTACAAGGCTTTCTGTTATATCCAGTGTTATCATGCTGTCTCATCCATGAGCATGCTGTTCATGCAACCCTTAGACAAAATGAACTCTACACAGAGGTTATTGAGGCAACAGAAGTTATTTTTGAGTATTTGGTACTGAGAAGTAAAATATAAAAATGTTATTATGTTAATAATAACATGAAAATATAAAAATGTTATTATGTTAATATCACATTAAAATATAAACATGTTATTATGTTAATATCAAATTAATTTAAATAATGTAAATATATAAGCACCTTTTTTTTGCTATGCAGTAAGCATGTACAAAAGAAAATAAAGTACTTTGAGGCATGAGATTTCCTGACATTCTCTTCTATAGCCTGTATCCTGTCACTAAGGAATGATTTATCAGAAGTTCAAATGTTCCAGATGCTTACTTGGCTTCCCAGTACACCAAAGGAAAGTGAGCTGAAACAACAGAATCTTAGCTGCTTGGAGATCTTTCTTTTCAGGGCCCATTTCTGAGTGCTGTTGACCACCCTCACTCCCTTTGGAAGTTTAAATCATAATTAAGGCATCTAAGGGTATTGAAATATTTCTGGCAGCTTTTCTCTGCCTGCTGATAGCTCAAGATCCACCAGCAACAATGGAAAGCCCCTGCAGCAGTTTCTGCACATCACAGCACAGGCAGTGTCAGCTCACCAACTGCTCCATTCCCATTTTCCTGACTCTTCAGTGTGATGACACGTTTGTGGTATTCACATGCACCATTTATACACGCAAGAAAAAACCCCAAGAAATAAGTGTAACATCCAAGCTGCATCTGACCTACTGATGTTTTCCAGTCACACTTGGCTCAGCGCTGTTCTTACAGAAACATGACAAAATATGAGAAGGATATTTGTAATATGAGGTCAGACTCTGTCCAGAGAATTTCAGAGCTGAAGATGGCAGTAATCCTATCTTTTTATTCTTCTTCATCCTGTCCCACTCTTACCTCTGCTCCCATCTTCTCTTTTACTGGGGCTGCCACAGCTGTTATCAAGACTTTGGCATGCAAAGAGCTGACTCCACATTTAGTCTGACAGAGGTGGGGACCATGGCCAGAGGAATGGCAAGGATATCAACAGCCAGATGATATTTCTGGCCTTCAGCATTTACAGGCAGGAATTATTCTAATTTCTTCACTCCCTCATTTTTCATGTGGATTGTTGTCTTCACTTGAAAAATTAAGAGTTTAAGACCTGTTACAGAAGCTGCAGGTGCTTGCTGCAGACAGGAGAAACTTGCTCTTTTCTAGACAGGGTTTCAGTGGGGAAGTTGGGATCTTGGTTCAGGTCTCCCAAATCCCTAAGCAGTCTTTAGCCATTGGATCATCTTTCCATTCTATTCAACCTATATTGGCTCTTTCATATTTGGCTGTTTCAAGCTCTGTAAACTGTAGTTAGTAGGGCTTGGTTATTACCACACTGTGGTGGTCCAGCATCATTCTTTGGGAATTGTAAATAGTTGCACCAGAGTTTAACCTCTCCTTAGCCACCTTTATAGTATATATGAAGAAATCCAACAAAGATGAACAAAGAATTTTACTTCAAAAGGTCATGTCAAAAACCTTCTCTGTTGTTATGACAGAACAGATGAACTGTTATAGCAGATAATTAGGCTGATTTGCCAAACATTTCAATAAAGAAAATGAAATAATTAAAACATACTGATTCAAATATATATTTTGTCCCAATCATTAAAGGCTCCATCCATCTTAAAATGAAGATTTTTAATGGCTGAACTGTTGGACCAAGAACCAGAACTCTGGACGCCTTTGGGATTTTAGACATTTGTCTGCCTTGTAATGTGTGAGATAATTAAGCAGAGAGTCTTACCTCTAAGTTCAACATGTTTGTTTAATCATTCTGGTCAGAGAGGCTCAGTTAGCATTTGTAAACTCTTATACAGCTCTAAAAATGTTTACTTTCTACAGGAAAGTCTGCCTAGATGGTGTGACTGAAGATCATTCTAACTTAAACCAAAACATAAACCAAAATGCTGTGAGCATCCTGAGCTGAAGGTGCCAATAGGCAGATATGATTTTTACTGTAATAAACCTTAACTACTGACTCTTATAGATATTTTTAAACTAACCCTTCAAATTCCTTCAATTCATGGTCCATTACATCTGTGCAAACTGTGAAATGTTACCAGATCTTCATATACTTTCTATAGCTTGAAATGAGGAATGAAGTTGTAAAGACATAATAAATTACATCCCGTTTCTAGTTGAATTTACAGCTTCTTCTGTAGACTTGTTCTAAGATCTTTAAATGCTGGAGCTACTGCAGTGCCTATTCACTTTTTCTACTAAATGCATAGATTTCTAATTTTGAATTTCTTTCCATTACTGAAAAATGTTCCAAATATGGCAATGAAAAACAACAGAAAACAAGAAACTAGATTTGCAAAGAGGAGTTGGATTTGCAAATCCAGTATTTTGATCTCATTTTGATGTGACAAGTTTTGTAAGACTTGTTATTTATCATATAAATTTTAGACGCAGATGCAGTTTTTTATTCAGTCTGTGAGTAAATGTGGAACTTGGCAGATCCTAGAGATTTATGTCCAAGCAACAACAAATTACAAACTTCTTGTTATTGCTCAAATGTTCTTCATTATGGAAAAAATAACTTAAACACGGAAATGCAGTAGTGTAAGCAAAGTGGAGACTTTGGAAAGTCTGTGACGAAGATCTCCTGTCATATTGCACTTACCTTTATGAGTCAGTGTGAGATGGGCTGTTTCAAGATTTTCCTCCTGTTATTTGTTAGGATTCCTTACATAATGTGTAATTCACAAATTGCCTGTTGTTTTCAAGTCTTCGCCAAAATTAAAATTTTACAAGATGTTAAAAAAACCAAACCAACATTAAATCTTGAGCCATTTAGAGTTTTCTCCATTGTGATGGTGTTAACTGGAGCATGTTTTGTTTATCAATTTTAGCACTGTTTGCATAACTATCTCACTATGCTTTAGTGGATAAAAATTTGGAATAAAACCATTTTTCATTATAGGGAAGTTCATAATAAGGTATCACCATTCAGCCTCCCCTGCCTTTTCATTTTATCTTACTTATCAAGCAAAAATGGACACAATTGAATAAGAATTGAGATATATGGTGCATGTGTTGACTAAGTAGCCAATGAGAAGAATATTTTCCTATAAGTAAATAGCATTCCAGTCTTTTGATAATTTCTCTTTTTTTGTTGTTTGGGTTATTTTTAATTGAAAACCTACATTGTTTACATGGCTATGCTTAAGACTGATTTGCATGTAAAATCTGAAATGCAAGATATTACCTTTTTAAAATATTGCTCTAATCAGTGGACAAACAGAATGAAACAGATAAAATAATTTATAAACCACCACTCTTAGGCTACTTGGTCCCAGAAAGTAATCAGAAAAATAAGAAGCTTATTTGGGTACAAGTCTGAGAAAATGCAGCAGTCACCACGAATATTACTGAGAAGTAATATTCACAGAGATTCATGCCCTGGACACCGATAGTGGGGTGCAAAAACCAGTGCTTTTCAAAAAGAGTGGAAGTGGGGTTTAGCAAGATTCATGTCTCATTCCCCCCTCTCTGTGCTGCTTCACCCCCAGCTCCTTGGCATGGCTCCCCTCATGTCTAGCAGGGAAAGGAGCTCCCAACACAACAAAAGCCTGATTCTGATTTCTCCCTGCGTGCATTGGTACAGGGAAGGCAATTCAGAGCTGTTAATTAAGTTCTTATTTTTACAGACATTCACACAATGGAACTTTTAATTGCCAAGGACAATTTGAGAGCTTTAATTAGCGGTCAAAGGATGACAAGAGCCACAACACAGGGCTTGTATTATTTCACAATGAAAATGAAATATGTCACATGTCTTGAAAATTACTTCAGCTGACGTTTGGGAAAGTTAAAAAAAAAAATCCTGGGGCTTTCTTCCAAAATGTAACATCATACACATGGTGTATGGCCAGCAAAACACTCAGGACAGCCCTCAGTCACTCAGTTGCGCCTCAGGATGCATCTTTGAATTCTCTCAGTAACCTCTGTACTGCTGTTTATCAACTGTGTCCGAATTTGAAACTTTGCCTGGATTGCCAGGAAGGACAAAGAGTATGTATGTTTATCTTTTTAAATGTATTATCTTTATTTAAATAATTTCTATATTTTATATTAAAAAATGATCTTTTGTGCTCTCGCTTCTGGTCTGTGCAGTCTAGTAAGACTCTCCCTTTCTTTTTCACCATAAAAGTAATTCTGAAGGTCAGTATTAGTTTATGTGTAAAGCCACGATCCATTTTACCTAATTGCTCTAACTGGCTAATGAGTACTAATAGTAAAAAGGGTGATAGATGAACTGTGCATGGAAATTCATTAGAAATCAGTTCAAAGTAAGAAAAATATGTCATTATTTGTATAAAGGATGACTGGAATATGTTAAGGACAGAAACGGAAAAACATTCATGTGGTTAATTTTCCATTAGCACTAACTACTTCAAAATACTTACAGAAATTACAGAAAATTAAGCACATTTTCTGTCAAGAGAACATTAGGAACTCTAAATTTATAAAAGGCTTGTGGCTTGTGGTAGTGCTCAGACACTGATTAGTAGACTCTGAAGAAATTTCTGCAATGAAAAACTCTACAGAATCCTCAGGTACTATTGCTAGCTGAACAAGAATTTGGATTTAGCTGTGAATAAAATCTAAGTTGCAATGAAAGATAAAACTCCCAGGTGTTTTTAGCTGAGCCCATCATGAACGAATTTGTGGCTCCAGCTGCGAGATTGTGTCTGAAGCGTGCAGAGTGGCTAGCATAAGCCAATAGAAAGAAGTCCTCAGAAAAAGGGCAAACAAGGACAATAAGCAATTCTTTTTATTCTATATTTAGTATAATAAATAATTCTGTTTAGGTTCAACTGTTATCTTTCATCTACATTATTTTTGAAAGATAAAGTTGCAGACTTTCTGCCATTGCTCTCTCATGCCTTAGCCAGCCTCCTGCTATAACAACATTCAATTTCTGATGTCTCACAAAGAGCCTCTCTGATGCTGTTTATTTGCTATATGTGTTTTACCTGTAGTTTTAGATCCTCTCCAGTTATCTTTGTTTGGGTGAGAGGTCTGTGAACTAGGTAACATTCAGACTGTTGTGAGGGAAATCCAGGGAGCTGTGCTCACTTTAGTTGTACCTCAGTTTCCCATCAAGGCTGCCAGATGAGTGAGTTTATGAATTCAGACACAAGTTTTCTGCTCACCTAATTCTGCAGCAAAGAAAACTGTTCTGTGCATTACTACCAGATAGCCTGATGTGGAATATTAATACTTATTCCTAGAGGCATCCCAAAATAAGCACGGCAAGGTGCTCGTATTCGGAAATCACTGAGGCTGTACATGTACGTAGAAGAGATGAAAGATGGTCTTAAATTCTCTTTTCAGAAATTCCATCATTAGGTGTTTACTAGGTGTAAAATACAGAAGCTGAAAGGGCAGAGTTAAACAGCTACAGCAGAAAGTCAACATTTAGAATGACTGATTGCAAAATATTCATTTTTTCAAATACATTATTTTCTGTGATTGATATGCTCCACTTGCGTACAAAATACTGAAATGTCAGATGGCAGAAAAGGCTCAACAATAACTTGCCTACCATAATGTTCTGAGACCAAATGCCTGTAAAAACCAGGATCCAGGCTCTATCACCCAGCATGGCAGCACCAGAAGAATGGAGCAGGGGGCAGCTCTGACAGTGGATCTCTGACAGAAAGTCCAGTGGATTTTCATGGGAGGATAAGGTTTTACCCATGTTCTTACTCCTGCACAATCTCACATAGAGCTACTAGAAGAAAATAAAGGTATTGCCAATGCTATGATGAACTAAACACTTTGGAGCCTGGCACAGCCAAACTAAAGTTAAATTTTGGGGCTGGAGAAGAGGGGCTGCAAATTCAGAGCTGCAGAGGTCTTTCCTCCAGGCACAATTTTTAGTGTAATATTTTGGAGAAGTCTGTGTTTTATTATTCCAGCCACTGACATTTGAAGGCAATAAGCTGTCTAATATAACAACAGTTTTGAACCCAAAGTTCAGGGTGGGAGGAACTGAGAAGGAACAAAAGAATGCACAGTTCAGGCAGCAAGTGGCACATACAGAGAGTGAGCAGCTTTCCCAGTTCAGGGAAACAGGCATGATCCTGCTTCAGCAGGATAACAGAATATAAAAATATATTAATGTATCTATAATATAGTATATAATACAATAACAATAACAGTAACATGGTAAATAAGAGTAAGAGAAAGGGGAGGGAAGGATGCAAAGCTGGCTTTGTGTAGCCAGCATGACTCCACTACTCTCAGAGAGGTGGAATTCTCCCATATCTCTGTCTGTCATCAGTCTGGAGGAGATGTACAGAAATATTTACACTAATTTGTCACTTTCCTTCCTCTGTGCCACTTCAAACAATGGGAGCAAGGAGAGGAAACTTCATGGGATGTAGAGGAAGTTCTATCCTTGCTAACACTGGGAACATTCCCACAGCTGCACTTATCAAATATGGATTGATCTAGCCTGTAACAATCAGTAGGACTAATAAAGAATTTGCAGCAGTTAAATATTTGTTACACTACTTATGAGAGGCAACTTTTGCTCTTTTATTCTTCTTTTTTGCAGTCATTTCCTCTCATTTCAAAGACGTCTCCTGTTCACTTTGGAATTTTTTAAAAAATGACTGAAACTCCTCTAGTGAATATTACCTCCTCAAACCAGAGTGAACATCAGAGCAACTCAACTGTTTGCCCAGACTTGGATGAGTGGTGGGACATCGTGTACTATGTAGGACCCAAGTACATCAACACCGTCTGCGTCATTGGGATGCTTGGAAATGTGTTTGTTCTCTTCACCTATTCACTGCACAAGGGCCCCCTGAAGATAGCTGAAATCTACCTGATGAACCTTGCTGTTGCTGACCTTATCTTCCTCATGTGCCTCCCTTTCTGGGCAGAGAACATCAACAATGAGTTCAACTGGCCCTTTGGCAGCTTCCTGTGCCGCAGCATCAGCGCCTCCATCACCCTGAACATGTACACCAGCATCTACCTGCTGGTGGCCGTCAGCGTGGATCGCTACCTGACCTTCGTGCACACCCTGAACCACAGGGAGATATGGAGCAAGTCCATGACCAAAGGGATCTGCTTGCTCATCTGGTTCTTTTGCATCCTTCTCAGCGTCCCAGCTTTCATGTTCCGGACGGTGAAAGACTTTCCCCAGTGGAATATTTCAGCCTGCACCTTGGACTTCCCCAGCCCGTCGTGGGAATTGGCTGAAAGCCTGGTGGGCAATGTGGTGGGGTTTCTGCTGCCATCCACAGCAATCATCTTCCTCAATTTCTCCACCATTAGGTCCCTACAAAGAACAGCAAAAGAGCGAAAAGCAATCAGAGCAAAGGGTTGCAAGAGGCACAGAGGCACGAAGGCAACCAGGCTGATTCTCACTGTGGTACTGATGTTTCTTTTCTGCTGGACTCCTCACCATTTTTTTGTATTCCTTGATGTATTATACCATACAGAAGTGATCAAAGGCTGCTTCTGGGGGGAACTGATCAACTTTGGGGAGCAGTTTTCTTATATGCTAGCTATCACCAACAGCTGCATTAACCCCGTGATTTATGTCTTTGTTGGGAAATACTTCAGGCAAAAGGCTTTAGAAGTTTTTTCACAGTTTATTCCCTGTGGATTTCCTTCGAGATGGGTATCTTTCAAAGAAATGTCTTCAAATTTCAACATGTTTCCAGTCAAGAGTAGTTTAACATAATGGTTCTCAGTTCCTCTTCATTTTAATATTATAACTTATTTTATGCCACTGCAAATGGCATTAAAAATTAATATGAAACGTTCTGATCTGGCCTTCACAGACCAAGCTAATTATCTATTAAAGTAAATCACTTGATTGATTGCTTATTTTTTTCCTCAGGCTAGCTTTTCTAGTTCTGTGTCATTCGTCCAAATATAAAATGTGTGATGCCAGAATTTTTTACCAAATTATCTAACCTGTCTTACCTATTAACAGTGGCTTAAAAGAAAAACTCTTTGACAAAATACCAGAAACCTGGTTTCTTTGCAGAAAGCCATAAGCCAGCTGAATTTTTTGCTGCATTGTATCTGTGATGACGGCTGCTATACGACCTATAACACTATTCATAAAATTACAACAGCTATTACAGAGCAAATATGAGCTTAATCTTTGGCTGATGAATGCATTTAAGCAGGTATGGGATAACTGGTTATTTTGAAAAAAAATTTCACTGATTTGCATTTTTACAGTAAGATATAGAGAATTTTAATAATTTTTTTGCACTGTAATTATGTGCAATGCATGACTATTGTACAAGAGGATGTAACACAAAGAAAGTGTACATAAATTGTAAAAAAAGCAAGGTAATGCAGTAGCCTCCTCAAAGCCTGATTTTTGGTGATCCAGTAAAGTGTTACAAAATTGCTCATAAAGTACTGTAAAGATCCTTTTTATTTTTTATATGTGAATGTATCTATGATGGCCATTGATACTCTGTTATTTTGAGGCAAATCCTTAAATACATATTTATGGTTTTATGAATCAGAATTAATAAACTACATAACTTCTTTTTTCTTCATAGTCTTTTTCTTTCTTATATTTATTTTTATGTTTTGTCTCTTTCCCCCTATTCCTTTGGGGAAGAGCAAATATATAGTTCTGTGATTAAAAATCCTTGTTGCTACCAGAACACCAACTCTTTTAGTAAAAGAAAAAAATTTTTCCATCACAGCCACAGTGGCAGAGTAGATGTAAAGCAACTGAGATCAAATTATGAGTACAGACATGGAAAAAGACAGTGCAGCCTGTTCGGCCAGAGGATTTTGGTGCAGAAGGGAGCATCCAGACACATCATTTGTATAATAATTCATTTAACTCCTCACTGTAAAGCCTATTCAGTCCTGTACTCAGTGCAGCAGCACCTCATTTCCTGGCGTTCTTTTTAGTGTTTCCATTTTGAATATGTAATTTTGAATATGTAATTCCATTTTGAATATGTAATTAACCTCTTATTTGATTATAGAAATCTGTCTATTCAACATCATTGCAATATGATTAGTGTTAATTTTTAATTGTTCTTTCAAACTTTTTGAATCTGAACAGTGGAAGCCTTTTGAGGACTTGCAAGTCTGTCTTCCTGCAATGATGGTTTAAGAATTAAGGGTGGATTAAGGGATCAGGGAGGAAGAATCTGTCATAGGTTTACTACTTCCACTGCTTCTGTGACAGATGTTTTTAAAATAAATATCAGGCTTAAACACCAGTAATAACAACAGCATGTGAAGTCCCCTGACTCATCTGAAGTCAAATTCCTAATTCCCATCTATTGTAAACTGTTGAATGCTGCATCTATTTAATACATCCCCCACTGAATCTTTAATGCAAAAAACTTCCAAGCAGAGATATTTTCTGGGGAAAGGGAAGGGAAAGGAGGGGAAGGCTGAAATAATGAAAAAGGTGCAGAAAAAGAAGCTCCATTTTCTCACTACAGATGAGGACCTTTAAAGGGAAAGTATCTTGTCTCATCTGACTAACACTTGTCCATGTTAGTCAATGTTCAAATAAAGGGAAAAACACTTCTTAAGTGTGGTGGCATGTTTGGGCTATGACATCATAGATTGAAAATGGGTATAAAATCTGAATTTAATGGAAAACCTCCTGTTTCCATCCATCAGCAAGTGACAAGGGCTTTCATGAAAGCACTGCTTCTTTTACACATGCTCAACTGTCAGGAAAAACATCTGTAGCTTAAACACGGCTTTAAGCCACTTATCAGAGTCTTGCCAATCAATGGATTTACTCTCCAGCATGAATGTCTGTAAATGTGTGCATTTCTGACTGTGTGTTAGGGTCTGGTGTTTGTTGGTGGCCACCTTTTGCTGAGGTGCTATGCTGCACTCACCTCGCTGAGCTGTGTCCAGGAGGGCTCTGGTGACAGCCCCAGGGATGCTCTGGGCTGGCAGGGGCCAGGGCACTGCTGCTGTACTGGACAGGCTGGGAGGACTGACCTTGAGTTGGAGGGATGTGGATGAGCCCTTCAGGGAGCAGAGATTCACCTGCAGCCCTTGGAGGACCCAGGGCTGGATGCCTAAAGGAGAATGTGGCGTGACCCTGTGACGCCTCTGCTGGAGTAGGTTTTGTGGCAGGACCTGAGACCTCATGGGGGACCCACACTGGAGCAGCTCATGAAAAACTGCAGCCCTTGAGAAGGGCCCACAGTGGAGAAGTCCAAAGAGAACTGTCTCATGTGGGTGGGAACCTCTGCTGGAGCAGGGAAAGCAGAGATTCTCTTCCAGCCCATGGTGAAGCAGTGTCCTGCAGCTCATGGAGGAGGAGGAGGATGATGTAGACTTGTCACTGTTGAGTAAGAAATGACACAGACTCACCAGAAGTCAGATTGGCATAATGCACCATTTATTTTGGACTGGTCCTTTTAATAAGTTGCTCCAATCCAGGTGGACTTCATTGGTTATTTAGTTAATACATTTCACCTGGCTGGCTAATTAACAAGACACCCTTCTTTGAGCAATCTTTGAGAAAAACAAGAAAGCAGAGATTAGGAAAACACCTGCAGGTTGTTTATAATAATAAGCTGTCATTGTTTATCTTCAACTCCCTAAAGTCTCTCAGGCCAATTCTGGGAAAACTTACCTGGTTTTCTCACTCTCTGACCAGACTGTCACATCCACCCAGACCGTATTAATGATGGGCTTCAGGGGGAGCCCCTTGTTGCAGCCAGGCTGGAGACAGGAGAAGGAGTTTCTTGCAATGTTAAACCAGATAACCTGGCCCAAAAAGGGCCAAGGGTGGAGATTGTAATGGATGTGCCTTGATATTGTTGTAAGCTGTGATTTGAGATGCATGTTACAGGAATTAGTACAACAGAAACCCATATCAGTGGAGGAGATGCCTGACAAGAAGAAGTTTAAGTGCATCAGTGACCAGACCTGAGCTGGCTTGGGTGCCCAGTAACTCCAAAAAACACAACACCATTCCTGTGCTGAGTCACCACCAGACCAGATGGAGCCTGAAGTCACGGACAAAATGAACTCAAAGGATGTTTTGTAAACGTTTGTGGACATTTTATGAGTATTTTCTAGGGGTGGTCCATTGACTAAAGAAATAACTTCTGTGCATTATGTCAAAGGATGGGAAGAAGGGTGGTGGTGGTTAATAAAGTTGCTTCAAATAGTGGGACCTGGGCATGATGAAAGTGGTATGGAATAAGTGATGGAATGTGCTGGTTTGGGCTGGGGTAGAATTAATTTTCTTCACAGTGGCCAGTATGGAGCTGTGTTTTGGATTTGTGCTGAACACAGGGTTAATAATATAGAGATGTTTTTGTTATTGCTGAGCAGGGTTTACACAGAGACAAGGTCTTTTCTTCATTCCAGGCTGCCACACTGGAGAGAAGGCTGGAAATTGGAAGGAGACACAGCCAGGATAGGTGACCCAAACTGACCAAAGGGATATTCCAGACCACATGACATTATGGTCAGTATATAAAATGGGAGGAAGAAGGAAGCAAAAGGAGGAGGGGACATCTGCAGTGATGCCATTTGTCTTTCCAAGTATCTGTTGTATGTGATGGGGCTCTGCTCTCCTGGAGGTGGCTGAACACCTGCCTGCCCATGGGAAGCAGTGAATTTATTGCTTATTTTGCTTTGTTAATTTGTGTGGCTTTTGTTTTCCCTGTTAAACTGTCTTTCTCTCAACACATCCATTTTCCAGCTTTGACCCTTTTGATTCTTTCCCAGATCCCTTGGTGGGGGAATGGGCAAGTGGCTGCATGGGGCTTGGCAGCTGGCTGGGGTTAAATCTGAACAAACCTGACCCAGGAGTGCTGGGTTGTTTCTGCCTTGCAGGTGTACATGAAAATAGAGAATGAACTTGAATTGCAGCAAGGAAATCGCAGGATAAGCATTAATAAAAAGCTCCTGGTGAAGCCAGTGGCAGGCTGCCCAGGAGAGAACTCAGCACAGCAGCAACAGGACCCTCGGAGCCCAGTTTAGACAGCAATTTTTGGGGAAAATGTCAACATAATTGGTTCTGCCCCAGCACAAGGGAGTGTGTACCCCTCTAATGATTCCTTCTCTTGTGGTGAATAAATAAAGTTTCCTCGTTAGCCCTTTCAGGGTTCTTCACTGATCACCTTTCAACCAGTACTGAAATGTCAGCTCTGTAGCACTAATACTGCCAGACTCCACTGCCCATGGCTTGTGCTTTGGAATAAGCACCATTTTTACCTTTTCTCATGCAACTTCTCACACTCCTGATAAACATTGTCAAATATGAATCACTAAAAAGCTTCTCTGCTGCACCTTAAGAGCTTGCAAGTATAATTTAACTTGTTCTCATCTGTGTATATTGAATTTATATTTTACTATTAATTTCTCTAGGACAAGCACTATCTTTGCATTATCTGTTCAAGCTTTGCTTAATGCCCAGTCTTAGTTTACCATACAGGGCTCCTAGCACTAGTGTAATGAAGTGGCATTTAAGACTCAGTGAAACACATCTCAAGGAATAATACAGCCTGGGCTTACAAATGTAACATCAAAACATTTGGACAAGCCATTTCAATATCAAAAGCTCTACCTGTAAATACAGATAGTTCTCATATCAGAGAACCTTCACCTTTAACAACAATAACAAAAACACCATGAAACCCAGCTGATTGATTTATAAAACTCAAAATTGAAGAAAATACATCGATCACTTAAAGTGAAGACATTAGCATTTTCAGAGATCTACAGGCACATGGATTTCTAACCTGCCAGGAGTCATCTTCCTGGGAAGAGAGCTGTTTGTCACCCCTGTCAAATCGTACCACATCAAGCAAAAATGTTGAATCTTGGATGGAAAAAAGCACTTTGCTCACAGGTCAGATGTACTGCAGCTGTCAGCAGTGAAATCCTCAGAGATGCTTACCCCTCTGCAGCTGCCTGTGACAGGGTTTCACAGGAGACCTGGTCACAGAGCAACAGGACCCACTTCACTGCCCGTGGGTCAAGGGTGGAGGCTGCCAGAGAAACTGTTCATTGTCCCAGTGAGCTCTCGGTGCACTCCCAGCAACAGGACACGAACAAGGGACAAAAGCTGCACCAAGGTGGCAGGACCAAAATCATACTGGGGAAATGGGTGGAGTTTAATGGAGAACAGAGAAATATCTGATTGGAGACTGGGAGTCAAGAAACCTCTCTCAGCATCTTCCCAATATCAGAGTGTGGGGACGAGCAGGGAGGTCACAGTGACCAAAAGAGAACATTGAGGGAGCAGGAGACAGGGACTGGCTGAACCAGTGGACAACAATGTGCATGTGAAAGGGAAATGACTTTGACAATGAATGGGGACAGAGTTGGGACCTAGTGGTGAGGAGGTCAGAGCAAATTGTGGAAAAAGGGAAGAAGAAATAGATATCTCAGAATGGGACTTGGAATATTGTATTCCATTTAAAAAACCCTGTCAGGATTGGAAACACTAAAAGATAAAGAAATTTGAGTTTAGCAAATCAAACATCCAAGGGCCAGGGAATATTTGACCTTAGACTGTCCCTGGAATTTCAGTGTGGTCTCCTTCAGGGTATGAGTTATAATATGGTCTTATGGTCTTATGACTAAGCTTTGAATTTCCAACATTGCAACTTATCCACTTCTGATTTAGCCTTGTGTCACCCTGCCTTATGTAGGAGAGGAACACACTTACATAAATCAAACAATGTCCTCAAGAAATTAAATCATCCATCCTGCATATTAAATAAAATCAATGGTATTGATAACACACATGCTGCCTTGAATTTTACACTGAGAAACCTTTGAGACAACATATAATTAAACTGAAAAATTTATTTCAGTAAGGTTTTCTAGAAGAAAATTAGTCTAAGAATCATGTTTGATCACAACTGAAAAGATTAGAAGACATTGTG